TGCCCTCTCATCAAAACCTCATCATTCGTTCATCTTGCTCTACCTTTCATTCCTCTGGGCCTTGCACACCAGTTCTCCCCACCTCAAGAGTCTTCCAGCTATTTTCCTCCAGGCAAGCCCCCACTGATTCTGTTAGACCCAGTTTAACTGGAAACTGTCAGCAACACTTTCCCTGATTCTCCAAGCCAGAGATGGGCACTGCTTAATCTGTGATCACACAGAACCTTGCACATACATATTTTTTTCAAATAGCACTTACCACATTATATTTTAATTAATTGTTTACAAAGTCCCTTCCCAAAGATAGAGTGGCTCCTAAAACAGTAAGGGTAGAAGTGAAATGGGAGGTGGGTATCAAAATCAAAGGTGGCCTGGGAATAGTGTATTCAATTTTAAATTTGGTAAAGGAGCCCAGCTGATGTGGCTCAGTGGATTGAGTGTTGTCATCCCATGGTCTGAGAGGTCCCAGTTCGAGTCCTAGTCAGGACATGCATAGGTTGTGGGCTTGATTCCCAGTAGAGGGCATGCAGGAGACAGCCAATCAATGTTTCACTCTCACATCAATGTTTCTATCTATCCCTTCCTTTTTCTCTCTAAAAAAAAAAAACAATACAAGCATATTTTCAAAAATAATAAATAAATTTGGTAAAGGAAAAAAGTATATATTGTTTTCAGTTTGTAATACCAAGTTCAGAAAGTTTAGCTCATCAAAATTTTGGATGAATATGATATCTGAAAGGTTCTCATCATATAGGGAGCTCGGACTAGCTTTTTTTGTCTATTTTAAGGGATGCTGAGGTAAATAAAGGCCAAAGACCAAGTGTTATGCATTGCTCATTCTTACATACACTAGGTATTAAGATACTAACTGAATAAAAATTTTAAATGTTAAACAAAATTCTTAGATACTGTCTTGATGAAATAAGCTTATTTTAGGAAATAAGCGTCCCAAAATGTATTCTAGTTTCTGAATTGTTTTATTTGGGTATAAAGATAGTCACTCAAGTTTTTTTCAAGAGCTTAAACAAGATCTGTATACAAAAGGGAAAAAAATGTAGAACACAAATATTTTTAAAGTTCCTTTATAAAGAGTAAAGACATTATTATATGACATATCTCCCATAATCCACTGTGCCCCACCCCAACAACATGGTTATGGTTTTGAATTCTTATGCTTCTGATGGGTATGTGTTATTTAGGAAAACCAGAAGCCACAAAAAAGTTTTGGTTCTAGGTCTCTTTGTTTTATATTTTAAATATTTCAGAGGTAATGCTTATATCACATCAGATGCAGATGGTGCTGTCTGGAAATACTAAAATACACTCTCACATTCCTGGGTTTATAATGAAGAACAACTAACTTAATCCATAGCTACTGTTCTCCTAGCTGGTGTTTTCAATCTAGTATCAAGCACCATCCAGCAACTACTTAAGTAGTGCTATGACTAATTTTAAGGAAAATTAAAATGCTTTAATAAAATAACTAGTTAATCATGGAAGACAATATGCATTTGACTTTATGTACCATGGTATTTGTGTTAATGAGCCTTGTTCATACTCCAGTACAACTACATTTTTAATACATTTCACATGTATCTTTAAACAAAACAGATAAAATTTCCCAGCCTTCATGGAACTTAAATTCTAGTGGGAGGAACAGACAATGCCCTTAACAATGAACTTCCTAAGTTAATATAGAGAGAATATCTAAGAAGCCTGGCCAGGTGGCTCAGTTGATTGAAGCATCATCCCATACACCAAAAGGTTGTGGGTTTGATTCCTAGTCAGGGCACTTACCAGAGGCAACCAATCGGTGTTTCTTTCTCACATCAATGATTCTCCCTCCCTCTCTCTCTCTCTCTCAAATTGATAAACATATCCTCAAATAAGGGCAAAAAACAAAAAACCTTTCACAGTAAAATTAAGTTTAAACTTGCAATACTGATGGTCTAGTCCTTTATGGACATAAGGCCTGTCACTGGATCATCACTGTGAAAGTCAACAGTTCTCCTCTCACAATTAATATGAAATAAGTTTAATATGAACCATGCTTCTGCGAATAACTATTTTTCCTATTTTCTCTTTAAACTAGCGTCCCATGAGGTCTTTCCTCTAACTCTGAGCTTTCAGTGCCCTGTTCTTCCATTTGAATAGAATGCATCTCCCAGTCTCTAAAAACCATGCATACATTATCTTGGTGAAGCATTACACTAGGGGCTGGAGATACAAAGTTGCTTAACACACAATTTTTACCCCTAAAGAGTTAATTGTGCAATAGGAGCAGGACAAAGGATGACCAAGGCTTATGAATGTGTAACTGAAGTATGCAAAGCATCTGGGTGCACCCTGAGGAGGCAATGGTTACCTCTGCCTGGAGAAGGCTGCTCGGAGTGCCTGTGCCCAGTCTGGGGGAGAATGGGTAAATGCATGAAGGCAGAAAGGTCCAATGGCTCATATGTACCAGGAAGAACATGTGCTTGGGAGAGCAGTCAGGGAGGAAGAGATCCTAAGAAGCTAGGATCAGTGGAGACTATATATGCACAGACACCATCACTGAGAGCTACACCCCTCATGAGAAGACATGGAAAGCAAGAGTAGAGGTTGCTTATAAGCAGGCTTGAACTAGAGCACTAGGCACACTAAGAAGAATGGTGACTGGACCTTAAGGCATAGGTTAACTTAAAGGAAAGCACCTGAAAAAGGCAAGGAGAACAAGAAACAACAGAGGACAATGCTAGTAATATAAACCAGACACAAACCATGTTTGTGCTTTCTTGGCAGACCTCTCCACTCTCCACTGGACATGTTACCAACCAGTCATCCAGGATTAACAGTAGACTCTTCCATTCAACTCACCCCAGCAACGTTCCCAAACCAAGCACAGGGAAAGTGCCACTGTGTGTGCCCTTTATATGTGCACAAGCTAGATGAGCTGAAGTGAGACTTCGCCCCAAACCATGGTAAATACCCATGAAATGCATATCCCAGAATTCATATAGTACTCTTTGTCACCGCGGTCACTATTCTCTGGCACTGGAATAGTAATAATAAGAAGACACTACACCATGGGGTCCTTCTATGTATTTTATCTAGTATACTGTAGTGTGGTCCTCCATCTCCCCTGCTAGTCTTGGGAACTCCTCAAGGGCAGGGACTAGCTAATAGTAGGCACTCAATTAAGGGCTAATAAACAAATGAAAGAATTAACCCACCAAAAATTTTCCATAGTTCCAAGCTCGTATAACAGATAGAAAATACACCAACTACTGCTATTTTTCATTTTAAATGACAACAGCATGAAGACTATTCAACAAGCTTCTCACAAACATGAAGTCTATGACCCTCCATATAGACACACAGTCAAATGCTAGAATCAGAGAAGAGCAATTCTTCAATTTAAAATTTTAAATAAACAGTTTTCCACTTGCAGAAATTTGTTGAGTGAATGTGATAGTGCCAGGTCAGAGTCATCTCCCCACTCCCCAACACACACACACACACACACACACACACACACACACACACATCTTGCAAGGAAGAAACACCATAACTCAAAATATACAGGGAAAAAAACCTTTCTGCAAAACTTCAAGAACTTGGTTTAAACACTAATATCTCCTAAATGACTACATAAATATGCAGTGTCCTGTTCTGAAATATAACATTAGGTAAAAATTGAAGAGAAATTTTTGTTTAAAAAGAAAAAAAGAAAACCAGCATTACTAAATCACAAAGTAAATAATAATTTATTTCCATCAGAGTCGAGTACTCTGGGCAGCAATCCTTGGGCCTGGGCTACTGAGGCATGCTTGAGAACAGCTGTACACATTCACTCTCACAAAGTAGCTGATTGTACTTCCTTTGTAAAGTCTGTCCACACTTACCCTCTGGTGCCCCAATTGCAGATGCTATGCTTAGTGAAGAAAAGAGTTAATTTTGTTGGTTAAAAATAATAACCTTTGTGTAGAGAAACACACAAGTAGCAGTCGGGACTGAGCTACGAGCAAAGGCACGCCACCAGTCAGCCCTCTCCCCTCATGATGTGAGCGGGTATGTGCTTGAGGGGCACGGGGTCTTTTCTTGGTGAGGAGGAGAAGAAAGTGCAGAGACGAATACACCAGAGAACTGCTCTTTCTGGAATTCATAGAGGGTCTGGTCTTTTATCCCCAAGACTGGGGACCCGGGTTCTGTCAGGGGCGCCTCCCCGCTGTCCTGCCCTGGGCTGCTCCACATGAGCAGAGAGAGACAGGAGGCAGGCCCCTCTGACACCTACTTAACCGAGGCAGATGGAGAGGAGAGTGTGTGGATGCCTTTACTTCCCCCTCAGGAGGCGCCCAGCGGGAGCCCACAGAGCCAGCAGCTCCACAGTCAGATTTCCACACATCCTCCCACCACAGAACATGCTTTACCACTCGGGCAGGAGGAAACAGAGCATTAAGCAAGTGTGGCTCTGGTGGATGAAGGGGTTTTAGAAGACCTAAAGAAGCCTTCTTACAGGATTCGGCCCTTTCTTCCAACCTCTCCAGAGGTAGCCCAGCTGGGAAACAGTCACTCACTCATTGACCCAAAGGGGGCAAGGGTGTTACTCTGAGGAGGACACAATCAGTGTCTGCAAGACGTCCTGAGCCGCAGACACATACTTTATTAATAATCTTACGTACACAAAATGTCCAAGGGAAAGCCTACCAGGCTAACTCTGACAGCTCCAGATAACAGCAGGAGGACTGAAGCCGTGCTGGCTCTCTGGCTTCCACACACTCCACAGAAGCTATGGTCCCTTTCCCACCCCAGGGATGTGATACAAATAAATAAATACAATTATCTGCAGAACTTAAAGTGAAAGGACAACACTGTCAAGTCCTTCTCCCCAAGTGCAGTGACTTGTGGGAAACAGATAGGAAAATAAAAAGAACAGCTGGAAATTTTAATTACAGAAGAACAACGCAAAAGCTGACATTGTTTCACAGAACTAGCCAATAGCCAAAGCCCTTCTCCCTTACCTTAAGATACAGAAGCAGCTCTTAGCTCCTGAAGATAAGCGGCAGAACCCGAATCTCTGTTTGCTGTCAATGTCAGTGAGCACGAAAGTGAAGTTCTGGCCAACTTGGCTAACTGTGAGGCTGCGGCAAAGACAGAACAAAGGGGAAAATGAATGTGCAGCAAGTTTCTTGATAAAGTATCTAATCGTGACAAGTCATTGAACCTGTAACATTTCCTCTCTCAGTGGAACTCTTTATAAATGAACTGAAAATTTACACACTTCAAGGGAACAGATTGTGAGCTAGTAAAAAAAAAGGGGGGGGGCAGCAAGCAGCACATTCTGGTGACCACCGCATTGGAACTACTACCATACCTTCTTCTATTTACTGCATTCAAGCAGGTAGCACTCTAATCATCCCATCAAATTCTGAAAGGTGCATTCTATTAACCTCATTTTATAGATGAGAAAATAAAATGTTTTAAAATCCACTTTTAAAAATAATTTACCAGTTAGCTTGGATTCCTCTTTAAAAATTTAAGTATTTCAAATTCTAATACATAAATTTATGCTAACATAATATTTTAGAATTTGACAATGAATTTTTCAAAGGAACTTATTAACTTATATTGTAGTTTACATGTTGCATTTTACAAAATATACTCAAATTAATAATAGATTCTCTCACCTATAATTTACTTTATAAGTTGTCAGTGGAATAAAAAACATTATGGTTCACCAGACCTTTACCAAAGTTAGACTTTTTGAGTATTTGGATATGATATAAATTAAGTTTTCAAATATGGATAGCCTTCCTTTCGAAAACTCCCATATAAGCTGCATAAGAAAATTAAAGAAGTTTTCAAGGCATCCCAGCATAAAAGGTCAGTGGACCCTACCTGGTCATATGTAAGAAAACAATTCCATCCCTTGGAAAGTGGTTAAAGAGTACAAGAAAATAATTCGGAAAGAAAAGAAAATGTTCCACTCTCCTTTTTTTAACTAGGAAGGTGAACGAAAACAAGGTGGCAATTTAAAAGCAACGTGGTAATAAAACAGGTGTAAGTAATGTTATCCCTCCACCTTACACAAGCCAGGAGAAGGAACACATTTCTATAAAAGTTATAGAGCTGTCAAGGGGACACCAAATGCTACCCTCTTATGGCTGTTATGTTTTATCTATAAAGCTTGGATACTGTGTTACTATGGTGATTTAATTCTATGTTTTAAAGGGGGATTATATGATTAATTTTAACAAGGTTGGGAACTGAAGATGTGTGAGAAACAGGATTCTAGCTCACATAATTAAAGTGATTGGGGAAAAGTGTGGGCCTCGTTGGAGGAGGAGAAAAACCTGTATTATTAAAATATTTAAAGCAACAGGTCAGGATGGTTCTAAGATGAATAGGGTCATGCTTTTGCGAAATACTATTATGTGATTATACAAAATATGACTGTTCATTATTTTAACTCAGGGTTTGATTTCACTTCTACAGTGTTTAAAATAAAGCTTCCTAGAAGAAAAGGATATTGACAGGGCTGAATGAAAAGAAAATACCCAGGAGCTCTAGGAAAAGGACATAGAACAAATACAACTTGGTTGGTAGTTGAGTGTCATTAATTTCTCTATTATCTTTTCATTAACATTAAAAATGCTGAAAATGCTTTTAGCTACCTCATAGGCTCAAAGAAAGATTCATTACTCATTTACTTGGTTCAAATCCCAACTCAATCACTTGCTAACTGAGCCTTAATTTAGCAAGTTACTTGACCTCCAAGCACCTCAGTTTCTTCATGTGGAATAACAACAAGAAACTACCACCAAAGGATGTTTGGGAAACAAGTGAATAAGCATTTAGTATAAAGGCCAGTCTATAGTAAGAATAATTAATAAAAGAGATGTACGCTGTTAGGTTACCATCTGAATGAAAACTAAAATTCATATTAAAATCATGCATTTGCTTAGAATCTTCCTGACTCAGCTTGTAATACTTGTGAGTGGAGAAAGGACAGCTGCCTTTCTTTCTCTCTCGTCTGCTGCACCTTTTCAGTAAAGGTTAGTCCTCTGGATGACCAAATGAGCTGTTCATGCTCGCATTATTAAAGTGAACAAGATCCGTCTGGCCGGAGTGGCTCAGTTGGCTGGAGCATCATCCAGTTGGATTCCTGGTCAGGGCACATACCTGGGTTGTGGGTTCAATTCCCAGTTGAGGAACATATGGAAGGCAACCAATCAATGTTTCTCTGTTACCTCTCTCGCTCTTTGTCTTTCTCTCTCTCTCCTCAGATGAAGATAAAAAAAAACAAAAACAAGTAAATGAAATTCTTTTTGGGGTGCCACAGCTTAGAAGTGGGCACTTATTCTCAGTCGAGTCACCTTTTTAAATTCCTAGGGTGAAGTACAAGTAATTAAAAGCCCCAAACCATTAAACTCAAAAATATTTTTTCCTTGGACAATTTCCAATAAACTAAAAGTCAAGCAAGGGCAGTCAAACAGAGGTTAACTTGAAGGGTTCTGAATCTCCAAGGAATGTGTCATTCCCCCTATGAGACTACTCACTTTTTCCCCATAAAAATGACTTTGAGAAAGGCCGCAGTTTTTGTGTTTCCCTCTAGGCTCAGAATCCATACCTTTTCAACAGGAATCAGATTTCATGATAGTTAAAAGTGGGAGGAATCGAAGAAGCCATCTTATCCAAGACTCGTTTCGTAGCTGGGAAAACTAAGGCTCAGGGTTATTTTGTGGGGTTTTTTGTTTTATTTTGTTTTTTACAAAGTAATTAGTACTAGAGCAAAAATCCAAGCCCACTTCTGCTTCAAAGTCCTTTCCATTCTGCCTCACTGCACTAAATACAATGAAAACCCTCCCCCAGAAGCTTTCAACTCAGTTGAAGGAATTCAGTTCCATGAGAAAGTCAGCCTACACTTCCCACTAAGCAAGAGAAACCAAATTTGAGTATTTCCAGAACTAAGTCCAGGAGACAGGGCCAAGACCACCCCTAGCAGTGCTTCCCATGCCTAGGTGAATATGAAAAAGAAGGGAGAAAAGCAATGACTATTTGAACCATGACCTTGAACCTTCATGCTGCCTTGTAAATGTCTGTCAGCCATTCAAGGCTCCTCCAGCATTTTGCTTAACCTTGAAGTTGTTTGTAGTTTCAGTATATAAATGGCATGAAGCATGTGGATGGGACGGTTTGATTTCAATTTTTCAGTGAGAAATGGGGTTTTCCATATCAGCCTCACCTTAAGTTTAGTTTGTCATCTTACACACTGAGCAACTAACTACTGCACTGGGCACTGGAACAAATACTGGATATACAACACCGCATCCTGCTGTGGCGCTTCCTGTCTAGTTGCAGGGGAGTAATAAATAAGTGTACAAAGCACACAGCCTATCACAGCGTTGCATGAAACCAAAGAAGGAACAAAGACAGAAGACAGAAGAGAAGGAAAGGCCCTACTGGGATAATGTGGTCAGAGACAGCTTTTCAATGATGACAACAATACCGACCTGAAGGATGAACTGAGAGGCCACTCCAGAAGCAGGGGACTGGGTGTTTCTGGCAGAGAAAGAGCTGCACACAGATTCTGGGGCTGGAAAGAGCTAGGCATCTTCAAGGAACTAAAAGGACACCAGCACCACTAATGCAGAGGAGACAAGGGAAAGTGGTATGATAGGAAGTTGCTACACAAATACGTGTCAGATGATGCAGAGAGCCTCTTAGATCACGGTAAAGAATTAGAATTGTTTTTGTAAAGGCAAGAGAAAGCCACTAAGTGGTTTTAATCAACAGAATAACAGTCTAGTCTACAAATTTTTTTTTCTTTATTGATTTTTAGAGAAAGGGAGGGAGAGGGAGAGAGAGAGAGAAACATTGATGTGAGAACATCGATTGGCCATCTCCTGCCTGCCCCCCACTGGGACTTTGAACCTGGGCATGTGCCCTGACCAGGAATCAAACCTGTGACCTCTTGGTGCATGGGTCAACGTTGAACCACTAAGCCACGCCGGCCGGGTTAGTCGACAGTTGTTAAATGTTGATCTAAGTATGATGTGGAGAACAGTTTGGAAGAAGGCAGAAGTACAGCAGAGAAAATAATTAGGAGGCTAATGCAGTAATCTGGATGAGACTGGATGGTGGTGTTTCTGTTCGTTTTTATCCTCACCCGAGGACATTTTTTGCATTTATCTTCAGATAGAGTGGGAGGGAGAGATGGAGGAAGAGAGAGAGAGAAACATCAATATGAGAGAGACACACTGACTGGCTGCCATCCGCATGACCCCAACCGGGGCCGGGGATGAACCGCAACCGAGGTTCGTGCTCCTAGTGGGAACCAAACCCGGGACTCTCTGGTCCATGGGCCGACGCTCTAACCACTAAGCAAAACCGGCCAGAGCAGTGGTGTATCTAATGTAGGGAGAATGGAGACGGATATGGCTGAACAGTTCCAAGTTATAGCTCGCAGGTTTATATGACAAGTTTGGGGGGGGGGGCTAAAAGCTAGGGAGTTAAAAAGCAGCATATTACCATTTAATGACAGAAAACTAACAAGTTTGGAGGGAGATGTGAGAGTTCCGTTTGGGATGTTAAGTCTGAGAAACCTGTAAAACATCTACACAGAAATGTCAAGTAGGTAGTTGAACATACTACTTAGGAAATCAGAGGAAAAGTTTAGATTGGAGCTATAAATGTGGAAGTCATGTACACAGAGATAGCATTTAATGCCATGGTAAAGAATGAGGTCACTTAGGGAGAGCATTCATGGAAACAAAAGAGGACACAGGACTAAGTTACAGAAGCACCAATTTAGAGGATGGGTAGAGAAGAGGCCATCAAAGAAGAAAAAAAAGAAAGAAATAGACCACCCAGGCAGAACAAGCAGAAGGGAGAAGTCAACTGTCCTGATGCATCAAGATGTTAAGAGAAAAAAATGCCGACTGAATTGAGTAGTATGGAGGTTTCATGTGACCTTGGTAAGAAAAGCTCTAGTTTAATGATAGAAGCAGAAGACAGACTGAAGAGAGCTGAGGAATAAGATGAAGTATGTGAATAACTCTGCCAGGAGGTGGAGAATCAGGCAGTAACTGAATGGAAAGTAAGGGGCAAAGATGGGTCTTCTTTTTAGGGTGGAGGAATA